GAAAATACATAATGATTTTAATTTATATTAAATATTAAGATAAAAACACCAGAGCAATTGCATTGGAGAAAAGATAATTATAAATTTCAAGGATAGCAATTATTTAAGCATAAAATTAAAAAATTTGGTCTTTTTTTGAATTTTCTTTTTCTCGAGGTTTGAAGTTTCTGTGAAATTGAGGTGTTATTAATTTTAGAGATGGCGTGTTCATTATGATGTGGAAACAGGGATTGGAATCTTCCACGGTATGTTGAACACCAATAGTAGTTAAATCGAGTAGGTTTGTGTATACCAGAGTGATTTTTTCTTCGATTTTACATATACGAGTGACACTGATATGTAGGACATGGAGATTTTGAGTATCAAAGAAACTACAAATAAAAAAAAGTAAAAATATATATATCAATGCAAATAAAAATAGTGCCTCTGGTTAGTTATTAACATGTCTTCAGAACCAAACCATGTCATACCAAACAGCAACACTCACGTTTTGTCATCTTGGAAAAATCAGTTCGCGTCTGTCCTCGAAAAAAAAATCTTCGTGCAACATCAACTGCCAATAATAATATTAATTTTTTTTAAACATGTCTCTTTTTCTTAAAGAAAAAAAATTAATTTTTTCAAAATGTCAAAAATGGAGAAAAGAAAATGAAATGTTTGATGCTTACCATAAAAATGGCGGTGATGGCGTCGTCACTCTAGTTATTATAGTCAAACAACGACATATCAAAAGAATCAAGTTGTCATACAATTTTTTCTCACAAGAAAGTCCAAATTTAATTTTTTTTCTTCTAGATCCTAAACATTCTTGTGTGTAAAAAATTCTCGCATTTTCTTGACTTCCAAAATAAGTATTCCATAACTATAATTCACAACAATATAAAGATTATTAAAAATAAATAAATCGTATGAAGTCTTTAATCAAATAATATTTATTTGCAAGTTTTTTATTATATATAAAAATCTAATTATTCTAAAAGAAATCATTGTAATTGATCCCAAGTAATCCTTTACTTTTGATGTACTTATGTCTTAGCATGAACAACAAATTATTGCCTCTATGATAATTGTGTTTATTTTTTCTTTATTTATTTTTTATTTATTTATGATTGTAAAACGGTTAAGACTTTTCATAATAAATTTACATCCATACTTAACATTAACTTAATAGATTGAATGTTGCACCGGATTGATTTTGTTGTTTTCTTACTATTTATTATATTAAATTTATTCGGTCATTTATCCGAACTTTATCTATTCTATTAATTAATTTTTATCCAAACATTATACATTTATTAATTAAAATTATTCAGTAAATGCTCAGTCATTTATCCGAGCTTTATCCATTTTATTAATTAAATTTATTCAGTAAATATCAGAAACCTCTATTGTTTATTATTATGAGAAACGGAACTATAGATTTCGTGAATATAATACATTTATTATTATTATTATGTGAAAAAAAAAACACGGAAATGTATATTTTAATTTATTTTTATTAATATTAATATAAAACACCGAATTTAGCAAAAACACTAATTACGGAGTAAATTTTTACAGGTTGGAATAATTTGTTTTATTCATTTATTCGAATGAACTTTTAATGTAATTCAAATACACAAATTCATAATAATAATAATGACGAATAAAACAAATAATTCGAATGAACCTTATTTGAACCATTAAATTAAAGACGAGATATTATAATAACAATGGTAAATAATAGTAAATAACAATTATGGTAATAATAACGTTAGCAGTAGTAATAGTAATACCGGCGAGCTTAGTACCATCTGAAAACTTTTTCATCAACTGGGATTTATTTAAGTTCTTAACCGGCTAACATCGTTAATTAATTGATTATATACAGCATTAACGCGAACTTTTTTTTGTTGTAAAACTGATTATAGGGATATTCAGTATGATATAATTAAAATAAAAAAATATACTAATATATAATAGCATAGTGGGCATTTGATTTCATGTTTCGAATTGATAAAAAATAAAAATATTAATATAGTATTTCTTTATCTGAATGTTTTTAATACATAGGCTTGATTTTTCGTTATACTGCCTAATATATTATTTACTTTTCAACTTTTCATCGACTTCATCAAATCAATATTTTATCTTCAATCATCCATTATACAATACTGTATATATATATATATATATATATATATAAATAAAAATAAATGCAAAAATAAATAAATGTAATATAAAAAATATAAATATAAATATATGTTTTAAATACACTTCTAAATTGTATACATCATTCTATAATTATACCGTGAGTATATCTGTTATTGTTGTTTAAAAATCATTATTTGTTTTTTAAGTGCGTCATAAAAAAATCAAAGATATATGTGATCTTTGTGCTATTGGAAAAAGTTTAATAGAAGTTATAAGTTAAACAAATATATAAAAATAAAAGTATAATAATAATGAGAATATAGAACAAATTTTTACCTGCAAGTATAATAATGACTTATTAATAGTAAAATGTTATCATTCATATTTTAAAAAATAAATAAATATAACAATGACATACAAGATCATAGTAGCCTTAAACTTTTACTTTAAGGCAACTTATTGAAATCAATTTGATCAATTTGATCAAGTTTTACCCATAAAATGGGTTTTTTTGCGCAGTCACGCGATTTTTTTCTATTTTAAAAACTAGCAAGTTTCACACGGTAGAGAGAAATTCAGTATGGTAAAGATGTATGGTATAGTATGATATGGTATGGTATAATATGGTATGGCCCATCCTTTTTGGGGGAAGCGTGTTAGATTTAAGCATTGGTATACAAACGTTTTATTACACTTGTACCACACCATACCATGCGTTCTGCAAGAGTTATATAAGATTAGTTATTGATAAACTAAACTGTATTATTACAGGACCGCCAACATTACGATTTAAAATTTAGAAATGTCTCATTAACACTTATAAAAGATTGCTCAAATCCCGTAACACTGCTTTTTTCCTTACTTAGGATATATTGTATGGTTTTGGTTTTGATCTATATACTATTTTTTTTTTTTTTGTAATAAATTAAATTTGTTGTTTGGCTATATTTGTAAATAAACAGTGGTACGGGAAATAAGACGTTGTAGAAGAGTGCTCATTATACATGAGCGAACGAACGAACGAACGAACGAACGAACGATCAAACAGATCGAGTGAGTATTGATCTGATAAAAAAATCAATTTTTACTACTTACTAAACACAATTTTTTGGGAAGCATGAGATGAAAAATATGAGACGTTTCTTTGATTTAGTTAAATTTTTTTTTTTTATTTTTATTTATTTATTTTATTAATTTATATACTATTTATTACTAATTACTAATTATTTTCACTATTCATTCATCTGATGTTAAAAAAATTGATTTTTCCTTCCTTACCTTTTTGGTTTTATTTTTTTTTTGTTTTTTTTTATCTACCACGTCCATCTATCAGAGATGTTTCTTTTCTTTTGTTTGCTGCGGTTTAACTTTTGATCAACTAACTCCAGAAATAATCAATCACCAATAATAACTAAAAATAACATACAATAATAATAAATAATTGTTTGTTTATGTCGCAAAGAAAGTAGTCTATCTATATATATACAACAAACAAAAATTACGCTAGTACTAAGTGTATGATTATTAAGTAAATACAGTCCTTGCGTAATAAAAATCACATTTGGTCAATGAATGAATGTGCCGTTGCAAAGTTTTTGTTCTATTCGCGAATTAGTCATTTTTTTTCGATTGTGATTTTTGATTGTGATCCTTCTTACCTTTGAGTTATTTATTTTTTTGATTGATATATAAACTGTTTGTATTTATCGATCGAGCAAAATTCTTTTCAATTCAACAACTCTCTTTCCGATAAAACGATAAATAAAAATAACACAATAATACTTTGGCTTATCTTTTCTTTATGACTTTTTTTTTTTTCGGAAAAAATGCCATCGATCAATGTGCGTCATTTGATTTTTTTTTTTTTCCCACAAGCTCACTTGAACAGGAGACCGTCCTATATAAGGAATGAATTTTCACAATTTGATTTCAATTTTTTTTATACAGTTTAAAATACTTTTACAAGGGTATTACATAGCCCATTCTTGACAATAAATCATGTGTAAATAATTACACAAATTTGATTGAAACTTTACTATTACACTTTTTTATCATCATATCTTTTGAATCCCTTTGAATCTCACAGCTTCCATAATACGATTTGCTCGAAGAAAAATTGTCTGAAATTAAACATTACACGGAATGTAAAACCATCAAATCAACTAAATTTCATCAACTGAAAGGCAATAAATGGAAAGAAGCTGTGAACAACAACTTAGTGAAGGTAACGTGGGCAGAAAGTGTTGTTTATGCAACATTTGTTTGATTTTTCATGAATTGTTCATTTTCCATCTCGATCGTGTACCTTAATTTCGTTGTGTTTACGATCATTTCATTGATATTCATTATGTTAAGGCAATTTTGATTATATCGAGAGAGAAGAGTTAGGAAGAGAGTTATTCTTCAACCAAGTCAAAAACCAATCCTTTAAATACATTTTCGAGTAGTACGATTTAATTTATTAGACTGTTTCGTGTGGTTACTTCCAACTTCTTAAATTCGTTAACAAAATAATTATTGGTGAAGTGATTGTCGACAAAATGATCAAATTCACGATTTTAATTGGTCAATCACCAAATTGCGTGGGTTAAAATTTTGTTCCCAGAACGGTCTTTCTGCTCTCTCTGCTCACTTGCACATCCTCGATTACAAAACTTGTTATCCATATTTATTTACATTTTTATTATTTTATTGTATTACATTGTTATTTTTATTCGTATAAAGTCGAAATTAGTTAGCTTGAAAAAGTAAAGGACAAGTTTGGATGGGTCCTTGCTTGAAACAGCAGGGAAAAACAAATACTGCGTTAGCATTATCAGGAAATTTAATATTGAATTAAGCTTGCCTGCCGAAACTTGTTTAGCCTAATGCCGAAAGGTAAAACTTCTTACATAGTGCTGAAATGATGAAACTGCAAAACTATAGTTCTGACATGATTTAACTATAGTTCAGCTAGGGTTTATATTTGAATGAAGTTTATTTGAAATATTTGAAATATTTGTTATGATTATGAGTATTCAAATTACGTTGAAAGTAATTCGAATAAAGCGAATACTTACCTTTAGAATAGTAGATTATTTAATCGACTATTTATTTGAATATTAATTAGTTGATCAAAAAAAATTTAGTCGATTATACTGGTAGTTAATTAAAACAGTCGGCTTTCCACTTCTAAGTTAAAATATGGCCAGCAGTTATACCAAAAGTCGGCTATATGCAGTTTTGGCATTTCGGCATTTCAGAACGATTTGCCAAAACTATTTCGGCAGTTTCACATATGCCATTTTGACGAAACTCCCTTGTTTTGGCAAGCAATCTTATACTGAATACTCAGTTGAACACAACCGGAAGGGATAATACTCAATGGCAGGTAGTAAAAACCAATTAAACAATGCATTATTTCAAAAAATAAAATTTTTTCATATTACTTATAAAGTATCAATATTAATATATTTACAAAAATTTATAAAAAATAGAATCTGCATTAAAAAAGGTTGTTGAAATTTATTGCGTCTATTTAATACAGGTAATTTGCAAAAATAAGAAATATCGCCTTATCTCTGATTGGTGATTTAGCACTTTTATTTCCAAAAGCTCATTTTCAAAACATATTACCAGCTCTTAATTACTTGATACCAGCGTCGAGTGATTCTGACCGCTGCTAATTCTTTTAAAGAAATTTATGACACATGCTGTAATTCTTTGATAATTTAATTAAATATGTAGTCATATACAAGTATGTAAGAAGTTATTATTATTATAATTATAATTATGTATATATATATTTATATGATACAAGTTTATTTATATATTTATTTTTAGCCTAGAGATAAACAAAAAATTATCAAGTCAAATAGCGGATGTTATTCAAATATTACCACCTGAGAAAATGATCCAACCAATATTGGCAAGCTTATATATATTGTTTGTATATATCAATTATCATCAATTATTAATTATTAGATAAGCATTATTAAAACAACAAAAGAAATTATATTACATGTCAAACAAGTATGTAAATTTTTATTTATGAATTTAATAATTACTTTTTTAATTTATAATGACCATTTTACTACAAATATAACAAAAAATCAAAAACAAATAAAATCCATAAAAGAATCCATTACAATTTATAACATTATTATAACCCAATTAGAATATTTGACAGCATGTGGTCATGGAATTCAACCTTTTGATGATCACAAAATTATTATAATTGATTATAATGATTCAAAAACCACAAATAGAACTACAACTTCCTCTGACGTGATAAAATCTAGTGATGAGGTTTTAGTTTCATTCCAGGCCAAAGGACTTACTGATTCATTTTTCAGAGATTGTGCAAAATGTCGCAGAAGTTTGGTATAATGATAACGAAGTTATATATTTATTAAAAAATACATTTACTTTTTTTTTTAATAAAATTACATTAATACTATATATATTCTTCTCTTTCTTTATTAAAAGTGTCTTTGTAAATTTCTTAGTACCGGAATATATACAACTTTAAATTTATTTTTAATATCTATCAAAGTAATTGTCCATTAATTCAATTATCATATCAAAGGTATCCACATTGTTATTGGTTGGATACAACAGTTCGAACTGTAACAGTTTATGGAGTTTTGTTTGAGTGTGAGTTAACATTAAGCAAATTGTTATTATCTATTACAACCACAACTTTTCAATTGTTAAAAACAAAGCTGGTAAATTATAGTGCTATTAATGACAATGTAATTGCTTTATTTATTTAAATATTTTATTAAAATTTATATTTTAGATATGGAAAATTACCCAGATATGTTACATTCATTCTTTGAGCTTTTGACAAAGGTGATATAAAAAAATTTTTTTTTTGTTATAAATTTTTTTGCGCATTATTATTCACAAATAATAATAAACTCTTTTATTTAATATCTTACAAAATGCCCTATTGCATTATATGCATTACTGGCATTTTAAAATTCTCTTGATTTAGGATTACAAGAAAGACTTGTTTTAAGATCTGCAGTTGCTTTTATGGTAATATTTAAAAAAGTATTATAAAAAATTATTTATAAATATTAGGGAGAATTTATAGGACAAAATTACAAAGATGATAAAATTACAAATATGGTAGAAAATATAATTAGAACTTATGGATTAGAAATTATGAGATAATTGCTATTTGTAAGATCAATTATAATTTTTTCTAATTAATATAGTTTTTAAAATAATTTTTAATATTAACTTTTTATTTTTTAATTGTTTAGGAGTTGGTGGGAATTTGCCAAGATCATTAATTCCACAATTATCACCTGATTATTTAAATTACAGGTCGTTTATATTGAAAATAGTAGGGAATGGTCGACACAAGTAATTTTCTTATTCATATAATAATTAATTGATTGACGATTTATTTATTATTTTTTGTCTTTATTTGTTTGTAAAGAGGAAACTTTCCATTTAAAATGTTAATCAAGTTATTAAACAAATTTTGCTAAAGCAATTCTAGGGTATGTGTGTTTTATCTTCATTATCATTTGATTATAGGAAAAAAATAAATTCATAATTTTTCTTCCTTCTCCAAATAAAATCAAAGTTCAAAAACAAATAAAATCCATAAAAGAATCCATTACAATTTATAACATTATTATAACCCAATTAGAATATTTGACAGCATGTGGTCATGGAATTCAACCTTTTGATGATCACAAAATTATTATAATTGATTATAATGATTCAAAAACCACAAATAGAACTACAACTTCCTCTGACGTGATAAAATCTAGTGATGAGGTTTTAGTTTCATTCCAGGCCAAAGGACTTACTGATTCATTTTTCAGAGATTGTGCAAAATGTCGCAGAAGTTTGGTATAATGATAACGAAGTTATATATTTATTAAAAAATACATTTACTTTTTTTTTTAATAAAATTACATTAATACTATATATATTCTTCTCTTTCTTTATTAAAAGTGTCTTTGTAAATTTCTTAGTACCGGAATATATACAACTTTAAATTTATTTTTAATATCTATCAAAGTAATTGTCCATTAATTCAATTATCATATCAAAGGTATCCACATTGTTATTGGTTGGATACAACAGTTCGAACTGTAACAGTTTATGGAGTTTTGTTTGAGTGTGAGTTAACATTAAGCAAATTGTTATTATCTATTACAACCACAACTTTTCAATTGTTAAAAACAAAGCTGGTAAATTATAGTGCTATTAATGACAATGTAATTGCTTTATTTATTTAAATATTTTATTAAAATTTATATTTTAGATATGGAAAATTACCCAGATATGTTACATTCATTCTTTGAGCTTTTGACAAAGGTGATATAAAAAAATTTTTTTTTTGTTATAAATTTTTTTGCGCATTATTATTCACAAATAATAATAAACTCTTTTATTTAATATCTTACAAAATGCCCTATTGCATTATATGCATTACTGGCATTTTAAAATTCTCTTGATTTAGGATTACAAGAAAGACTTGTTTTAAGATCTGCAGTTGCTTTTATGGTAATATTTAAAAAAGTATTATAAAAAATTATTTATAAATATTAGGGAGAATTTATAGGACAAAATTACAAAGATGATAAAATTACAAATATGGTAGAAAATATAATTAGAACTTATGGATTAGAAATTATGAGATAATTGCTATTTGTAAGATCAATTATAATTTTTTCTAATTAATATAGTTTTTAAAATAATTTTTAATATTAACTTTTTATTTTTTAATTGTTTAGGAGTTGGTGGGAATTTGCCAAGATCATTAATTCCACAATTATCACCTGATTATTTAAATTACAGGTCGTTTATATTGAAAATAGTAGGGAATGGTCGACACAAGTAATTTTCTTATTCATATAATAATTAATTGATTGACGATTTATTTATTATTTTTTGTCTTTATTTGTTTGTAAAGAGGAAACTTTCCATTTAAAATGTTAATCAAGTTATTAAACAAATTTTGCTAAAGCAATTCTAGGGTATGTGTGTTTTATCTTCATTATCATTTGATTATAGGAAAAAAATAAATTCATAATTTTTCTTCCTTCTCCAAATAAAATCAAAGTACAAGATCATCTCAAAAGTTTAAAGGAATAGTAACTGAATTTTCTATAAAATGTAGAGGTTTGGAGGATTCTGTTTATTGTAGTCTGATTAAAATATTAATTAGTTTGTGCTTATTTTCCTTTCTTTCAAAGCCTTTACCAATAATTCGTTCATATTGATCAATTCATTTTTTTTTTAAATAATAATATTTATTATTATTATAATTTCCATATTTCTAGATATCTACAACAATAAAATAATAAGTCAAAAAAAAAAAGAAAGAAATTTACAAATAAATAATATTAAATTAAAAAAAAGTTCTTGATAATGATGGTGATGATGTTTTTTGTTTGTTGATGATTAATTCAATTCATTTATTTATTTTATTCATAAGTCCAGTTATTTAGTTTTTTTTTTTTTTCATTACTAAATAACTTATCAATCTATACATCCACTCACATACATTAATCCACCAATCCACAAATATATCCATCATAAATTTTCTCCCCTTTCATATTTATCAAATTCTTCTTTAGTACAAAGTTTTTCAAATTGTCTTGTTGCTGAACCAACAATATGTTCAGCTTTAGTTAATTCCCACATAGATTTCACAAGTTCACGTTCTGATTTAAGAACATCCGCGTTTAAATCTAATTCAGCATCTCTCAAACGTTGACCTTCCATCGAATGACTTACCCACTTTTTCCCACACACACACATTAAAAAAAATCAATGTAGAGTAGAATCAGTAAAAAACAATAAAAAAAATAAATTTAAACCAAATATAATAATAATAATACCTTTTTTTCATCGTCACAATATTGAGGTAACAACTTAAATCTAATCCCAGTTGAAGAAAATGGATGAAGTTTATTTAATGTTTCAATATATTCAACAGATCCAGGCTGTAATAATTCCAAGCGCATTTTTTTATTTGGTGTATGCGGGGTAGTGGATGCAGAAGAATATAATGGTATTGATGACGATGGTGATGTTAATATTAATGATGATGGCGTTGGTGATGATGAATTATAATGTTGTTGATATTTTGCTGTATTATAAGAAGAAGAACCATAACCGTTTGGTGGGGAAGAATAATGATAATGATCTTTTATATAATCATGATGATGTGGATAAGGATGTTTTAGTGGACTTTGATTGTTGTTGTTGTTGTTGTTGTTATTGTTATTGTTATTGTGATTATAATAATGCTGATAATTTGAATCATCATGGAGATAAGAAGAACGATGATTATTATTATTTTGATTATTATTATAGGAAGAAGAACTATTGCTTCGTGAAGAAGTAGACGATGGAGGATAGTGAGAGTTGCTATTGATATTATTGCTATTATTATTTGAAGGATAGTTACGATGCTGTTGTTGATCCCATTCTGAATAATAAGGATTTGATCTATACGATGAAGAAGCAGAATGGTGGTGGTGGTATGAGTGCCTACTTGTTGAAGAAGACTTGTAACGTGAAGAATCTTTAATACTTCTACTCATAATTTTTTTTATATATATATTGGTAGATTTATTTTTATTTCCGATATTTATGCCATTTTCTTTAAAAAAAAATAAAAAAAATTTTAACCAGTTATGGTGCAAATCATCTAATCACGTGCTGCGCCATTTACCTGATTTGCTAATAAAGAAATTGTCAATAATAATACGTAATAATAAGCATTCTCTGCTGTAAATTCAAATTTGGCAAAAGATCAGTGGATAACATCAGTAATAACAAGCATTAAAAAATCACGGTTTAGGTATAATAATAATAATAATAATAGTAATAGTAATAGTAATAGTAATAGTAATAGTAATAGTAATAGTAATAGTAATAGTAATAGTAATAGTAATAGTAAAAAGTTACCCGACTTTTACTAATGAATAATCTCAAATCAAGAAACTGTCTCTTATAATTAGCTTTTGATGAAATAAAGTCTGGAATGTTAAAGACTGCCTTTATCTCTCTTTTGATGATGTGAAACTTGACTTGTGACCTTAATGTCATTAAATTGAAACTGCAAATCTTTGGAAATACGTGTTTTAAGCTATATCCAATCTATCTCTCGCATCCTGTCTGTATTTCAAGAAAGAAAATCGTGATTTCTTCAAAAAAAACTGCATTTCCAAATCAACTGGTGTCGTGGATTATTGTACAGAAGAGATTAAGAATGGTATTTTGAGCAAAGAAACCTTTTGGATTATAAAAAATTAGCGTAGAATATTCATTTGTTCGCTCAATCAATTAAATTTATTTATTAACATAGCGGAATTAATAAAAAATTCATAAATAAGTTTTAGCAATATTTTTTTTATTTTTGTAATTGGTAATAAATAATTCAGCAAAAACATTAGCGTGAAAACTCTTGATATAATTACAATGTAATAAGGCACGCCTATGGTTTGAGACAGCATAAATATCCTATTTCAATCTATAAAATAATACGTTGAAATCAATGAATTTACCACTTCTTATCAATGAATAATAAATAATGTATGAATATTAAATTTTTTCATGCGCTCACCATTAACTAATAGCACGTCATACTATTACTTGTACCTCCTTTGGACCAGTAATCCTTTACATCACTTAGAACTGTTTAAATAGGCATTTAATTTATTCAAATTACTAACCAGAAATATTAGGTCTTCTCTTAGTAATGTTGTTAAATGATTTAATTTAAATTTATTATTTTCAAAGTGAACGTATGATCTACTAAATGCAAAGAAGTCTTCTTATAGCTAACTTCCGAATTACTTTGGCAGCATATAAAATAGAATAAAATCGAATATATATTGTTGCACAGTCAGATGACGGATCAGTTTGCGCATTAATATGAAAACATATGCTAAAATTTTGCCTGGCAAAATTTATCACTTTTTTATGTAATGGTAGTAAAATTAAGGATAAATTTTAAAATGTAAAAAGATTCCAAAATTTTTTATCAAAATTTCCAGTTAATTTGACAAAAAGCTCACTTGCGTTTTTCTCCACTATCTTTTGTAACTTCTTCAAATCCAATATCCAACTTAACTTCTTAGAACCTCCATTTTCTTTTCTTCAAAATACAAGCAGTAGCAAGTTTTTTCCCAACCTCTTCTACCATTTTAAGTGAATTAATTGAATTGAAAATTGAATCATTTAAAAATATTCAAATATCCGATTATATTGATCTGTATATTTTGATTTACATATAGATTTTTCCAATATCATTCATTTAATAAATAATCAGATATCAAGCAAATGACTAGATATATTTAGATTCTCATTTTTTACCTATTACTGGTGCTTATTATTACATGAAAGTTCTTTTTCTAAACTATCCAATTTATCTCTTAATTCACTTTCTTCAATATATAATGCTCTTTCCTCAATCGACATTTTTTTTCATTCGTCCCAGCTATTCTATTACTAATAAGATTTTACTATTGTATATATATTTGTTGTAATAAATAAATGAATTTAACAAATTTTAATTTCAACAAAAAAATTCAATCAAAAATTTAATAATTAAAAATTTATCTGATAATTTAATATTTATTAGTTTAACTGATTTAATTTGCATTGTTAGTTGAAATAAATGGCCTTTTAAAAGGAACTGTAATATTCAGGACTGAAGTTGATGAATATGAAGAATTAATTTTCAAGAAATTTTGTGGAGGAGCAATGGTGGTGACCAAGGAAAAGGTTTCAATTGGCAATATCATATAAACTGCAGGGCGATTTGCATTAGAAGATGGTTGTAAATATGTATGTATCATTGATACTAATATTAACAACCAAAACTGCTTGAATTTTTACTATATTAAATTTCTCATTTGCTTTTTTCCTACTCACATTAATTCAATTGACCAAGATTTCTTTTGTTAATAATAATGATAATAATGATGATGATACCATTGATAATGATAACAAATAATGACAATGATAATAATTATGATTACAATAATGATGATACAATGACGATAACAATAATAGCAGCAGCAACTACATTAACAATGTTTGTAATAGTGATGGTGGTCATGTTAATGATAACGATGATGGTGGTAATGGTGGCCACAAGCAACTGCTGCAAATCCTCCTTCTATTCATATGCACTGGCACATACATTAACAACATCCATAAAAAGATAATAAATTGGGATATGAGAGTTGTTTTACTAAAAAAGATTTACAACAGAGTCACTAAAACAAAAAATCTTTGGAACAAGTATTTTGGCATCATATCATATCAATTCTAGGTAAAAAAATTTATTTTACAATTAAACTGGCATGTAAACTATTAGACACTTGAATGTATTTATTTATATAAATGATTTACTTACTAGATTCCAATAAATCAAGGATAACCTAAAATTTCAATGGTTGGCAAATTGGTACCAGGTGGGAATGATTTTTTGCATTTGGAAGCCCTGGAGCTGGAATTTACATATCTAGTTATAGAATTATCATCTTGTCATATCATCACCATCACCATCAAACAATAAAAAATAAGGAAAAAATGTTGACAAGAATTAAGCAGCACTGAAAAAACTTGAGGACATGTTTGTTGAATCAAAGTCTTTTGAAAAAGTTGAAGAAATCATTGGAAATGAGCAAAAACAAGTGATGAAATGGAAACTTAACAAGATATTTTTTTTTTGTGTTTAGGTGCATATGTTGTGCGTGAATTTGGAATCTGTGTCAATTTGAAATTCACACGCGTGAAATTCAAATTAGCCAATCAGAAATTTGTATTCAAACACCCAAAATTTAATTGGTAAATTTCAAATTGACACAAATTTGATTTTATATCAATGTATATTTACAAATAATGTTGTTTTACACATGTTATAACAAATAATGTGTGATGAGAATACTTATTATTTAATAATTTATGTGATGAATTTTCTTTATTTTCTTTGATTGTGTTACTTTTCCTTATTATTATTAATGTAATGTTAGGTAACCTGAATAGCATTGAGATTATGCAAGACAAATGTTATCCTATTTATTATATTAAACAGTGATGAAAATACATTTTTTAATTAATTAAAGTTTATATGATGGAATTTTTCATTGTTTCCTTTGATCATGTTATCTAATGCTGGATAACAATAAGGAAAAGGAACTCAACTATCATCAAGACAAGACAAAATGTCAATTATACATTTGTTGTACAATAATGAGTGATGAAAATACCTTCCTTAATTAATTAATAGTTTATACAATTCCTGCTCCAAAATGCCTTCTCATTGACTGTTCATAAAACAGAGGGTTTGACCTTACCTCATATAACCATCTCTATTGATGAGAACATATTTGCTGAAGGCTAAGCTTGAGTAGTGCAAGCTTCTTGGAAAACTTGAACATTCTGAGATTTGGTTTTTCTCAAAAGTGCTTTGATTGAATACAAAAGATTGGAAAAGGTTAATCATGATGGATTGAAAACTTTAATGTAAAATGTATATAATATAATTTTTTAACAAAGTAAGCTTGGTGATATCAATGACCTTTTCTGGGAGATGGCACACTGCTCCCTGCAATATCTTTGTTATTTAATCACAATAAAATAATTAGCCCATGGAAAATATCTTAAACAACGGAGAAGTAAATATTCTAAAGCTCTAAAATGTAACAGACCTTTATTTCTCAATTAAATTTAAATGAAGGAATTTAAATGATTGATCACTTTAGAAATAACTTGAAAATAATCCTACAAATACATTTAATTAGGATAAATTAGGGTTTCAAAGAAATCAGAGAATTGGATGATAGAACCTTTAACATTGTAATTTTCTCAACTTCATGGATCATCATCTTTATCATCATCATAATAATTTAATAAATAACACTGTCCTTAACCTTGTCCTTGTCCTTGTCCTTGTCATAGTCTTCGAATTTATTTTAGTAATGATAATAAATCTATCTCTAACAATGAATTCATGCTAATCCCAAGCATAATAAATTTTATATTTGTTTATATTTGTTTATTATTTTTTATTCCTTTTCTTTTCTTTTAGTGAGTTTTAGTAAGGTAATATTGATGAATTTTATTTAGTAGTTTTTAGATATGTGCCTGACTTTGTAGTAAAGAGGAAGACAGCTAGAAGGCACCTACCAAAAACCACAATCAGGATATCTAAAAAATTTTATTTAGAATTTCTTAGTGTAAGGAATTGTTTAATGATAGTGAAAGATAGTTTTGAGATAAAGCATAAATATGTATTCACAGGAATTGTTGTTATGATTTAGTATAAATAAATTGGAAGAAATTGTATTAGCATTGTTGGCATATTATTATAAATAAAATATTGATTTACTGTGAGACGTAGATTTTTATCTCACAATGGTTGATCATTTTTATTATTATTATTATTTATAGTGTTTATAGATGATGAAATGTTAAAACAGTATGAATATAAAAATACTAAAAAAATAATGAATAAATAATACTAAATGATGATAAGTGACATGGTGATAGGTTGTATCTGCCAAATGATATTCACCAATCATCCAGTTAATTAGGTGTTGAAAATTTTCACTAGATGTTGAATTTTATTGACTGACTGATTATCCAGGTGTTGAACTTTATTGATTGACCAAGTACTTAAACACCCAGATAATCAACGGATACAATCAGGTTAAATTACAAGGAACGTCTGCTTTAATTTAAAATAGATAGATAGCATATAATTATTAAAAAAAATTTTTTGATAATAATAAAAAAACTAATGTGAAAATTTCAATAATCAGATAAATAAAATTTTTTCATAAATTATCTGGTATATTTATTTCAATTTGTTTAGAATCTGACATATTTAATTCAATTTGTTTAGATTCTATAATTTAAAATATCATTAATAATAAATAATTAAGATTAAATACTTAACAATAAATTATATAATTACTATTATTATTACTAATAATTGTAACTTTATTGGAGTTTACAGGTTGAGGAAGATTTGTAAATTCAATAATCTACTTGTATAAATAGCATTTGGATGAACAGTTGCCATAATTGTTGAGGGATTAAAGGGTTTTTTATCTGCTTCCTCAAATATTTTTTTTATCTCTTCTAATTCATCAAGCTGTTCTTCAGAATAACTAAAAATATTAGATTCAATTGCATCTTTCCAAAAAGTAATAATTTTTAAAATTTCATCTGCTGTTGGTCTTTTTTCAGGA